GGTGTATCACCGAATTCAGTATCCATGATTACAGGGTGGTGGTCGTCGCGCTGCGCATGTGCGACATTTGTGTTGATAAACATTGGTTTTCCCACATTCCAATGCGTTCTAATGGCAATCACAAGTATGAGATTTGATCTGGGTGCGACGTGCACTAATTACCGTCGGTGAATCCTTCGATACTTCACAATCACCTAAAATTACCTAATTAAAGCTTGGTAACGTTTCAGTTTGTACTTGTTGATCTGCGCAACTGCCAAAGTCGCCATATTTGTTTATATGACCCCCCATATATTTCGCGCATGCGTGGCGCGACGACTACCGCCCTTTAACTAAAATAGTCTGAATATATTGCCTCAAGTTCAAGTTCGCTTAAAAACCTTGCAAATGTATTCCAACGTCGCGGGGGAGGAGCAGTCGCACTTTTGTCTTTGTGGCGACAATCGAACAATACAGCACGTGGGGAAAGTTTATAGATGTCATCAATTGTACGAAAAATTGACGTACTAGTATTCTGATTAGCGGCGTGCTATATTTATCACACAATCAACGCCCAGGTCACCTGCTGACCGTGGAGACGAAATCGAGGCAAAATTTATAGACGGTTGTGGGGAGGTAGCGGCATCAGACCTCACTAACCTGTGTTGGGTTTGGAGCACCACGGAGGGCGCAACTCATGCGACTCGTCGGACTAGCGGGGAAGGCAAGAGACCCACAACATTATAGAAAGTTCACCATGTCTCTGGTCCAAGGCCTATCACTAAAGTAATGATGATTCCTGTGCTATCCTTATAAGAATAGACTTCCCCTGATTATTTAACTGTTGAAAAATCTGTGTGTTTTTTTTTTACTTTCGTATTTTCTGTGATCGCGGTGATTGTTAGAGGTTGATGTCATAATGAGCGGTTACGGTTACTGTTATGGTTACAGTTACGGTTACTGTTATTGTTATGGCTACTGTTACGGTTACTTTTACTGTTAGGTTATGGTTACAGTTACTGTTACGGTTACAGTTACGGTTACCGTTACGGTTACACAAACAAACATGGCTCACGTTTTTTACATGATCCATCTTGCTCCCACGTGGTCATCAAAGAGGGTGCCTTTTAAGGAAAGATATATTAGAAGATTTTGTAAAATACAATGACTCCTTGGTAAGTCATAGGGGTCCATGCAAAAACTGAGGAGCCTCGTGAAAGGGGTTTATGCATTGAAAATGAAGAAAATCACATAGGTTTATTTATAGTTCGTTTTTTTATTTAAAAAAATCACAGCGTCACAGCTTTATCGATGTCATCATTGTCGGATGATTTCGCATAATTTCAGTCCATCTATTGGTCAACTTCGAAAAATATTTTTTTCAGCTTTTTTTCATTGTTTACCCGCCAACTACAGCGGTATATCAAATGCAAACCTTTCACCTAGGTTTCATCTTTTTTGATACACTCGGCAGTCGATCGCTGCGTTTTTTTACGCACGGGCAGACTGGATAGCTTTCGCTTACACATGTTGAGAGCTAGAGACAAGTGTGATGGATTCAACTCACTGTCGTGAGCTTTATAGAGCTATATCAATGGGCCGAGAAGTAAGTAAAGTCGCGACTTGTCACCCCCGTAGACACCTTGAGTCAGGCCGACGTCACGCTTTGTGTCTCAGTAATTGACGGCCAGTAGGTGTTAAGTTGTCTCCATCAGCCCCTTAGCGACCAACTATAAACTAGTTGCTATGAAACATTTGTTCTTTTACCTCAAAACTGCCGGCAAATAGAATTTTTGGGAGCCATCCAACTGCTCGCCTCAGGCGCGGCTTAGCGAAAGGTCACTGCACTTTATTTTAGCTCAATTGGTGAGTTGAATGTAAATTATAGGAATAGTTGTTGGGTATACTTTTTACTGAATCAAATTCGAAAATAAACTCGGTGGCAGGAAATTGCGTGATATTGACAACGTTGGCAATTTTTATTTTATTTAAAAAACCTTAGCATATTAGCGAACAAAAGCAGAAAAATTTACAAACATTTCTTTAAATAAACTTTAGACTAGCAAACAGTCCCTCAACCGTATTTTTGATGTGTTTTTTTCAATAAAATAAAATATTATGTGAGTGTAATAATGACGAAAGTCGGGTTAAGGTGAAAGTCGGGTTACTGTTAAAGTGGGAGGGTCGTCACCTACGCACGCACAGGAATTGAGTCTCAAGCGACGAAAACAACATGCACTAAAAGCGCAAAAGCTCGTGTTGTCAACACGCTATGGTCATCTGACGCATGCGCAGGTGACGACTCTCCTGCTTTAAAGTTTGAGTACAAAGGCAAGTACAACTCAAGCTTCGGACATTGTCTTATCTAGTTCTGTATGTCATATTCCTTTTGTAGTTCCCGGTGTTATTCGGGTGTTCGGGTTTTCGCCGAACCGCTGCAGTGAGTTTTCGGGTTTAAGTCGAACCACTGCAGTGGGTGATCGGGTCTTAGCCGAACTTGTGAAGTAGGTGTTCGGGTATTAGCCGAACTAGTGAAGTGGGTGTGTTCGGTCTTAGCCGAACTAGTAAAATGGGTGTTCGGTCTTAGCCGAACTAGTGAAGTGGGTGTTCGGGTCTTAGCCGAACTAGTGAAATGGGTGTTCGGGTCTTAGCCGAACTAGTGAAGAGGAACGTATTGTTATATATGAGTTGTCTGAATCTATGGAAAACCAAAATATGACTACTGGCCATTTTTTTCAAACAAAATAATTGTTTCCGCCCGGGTTCGAACCGGGGACCTTTCGCGTGTGAGGCGAACGTGATAACCACTACACTACGAAAACTGACATGCTTAGATAGGATGTTGTAGAATACTCAATTTAATAGTCAGTTGGCATTCCCACCGATTTTTTTCCAGGTCAAAAGGTCAAAAGGTCAAATTAAGAAAATAAACTTTTTAGGTCACCTAAAATATATTAATGTTTCTGTTCAAGGTGCGATATTTTGTCTGTAACTTATTCCGCAAGTATACAGCGCCCTCTGTTGGCGGGTTGATTAAACCTGCAATACATGTTAGACTGCTTTCCTGAATGGAGGGCGACAAGGGTTATTTTTGTAAGCTGTAATCTTCGTAATAATGTAATTTAAATAAATAAAAAACTTGAATTCGTAGACATGGGCAAGGTGTAAAATTAGCCGTGGTTTCGCGGCGTTTTGGGTCTGGAAAAGTAGTTTGCTTCGTCTGTCAATTATATCTCAGACTATTGATTGAGTCTGAGGTTATACACACATCATCTGTATACGTCCGGCTGTATACCGATGTGTTCATAATAGACTGACGAAGCAAAATACCTTTCCGGACTCAAAACGCCGCGAAAACACGGCTAGGTGTAAAATGTAATCAGCTATTTTATTCGTCTATAATTTGTACAAAAATCTTATTTTTTGTAAGCGTATAAAGCATTTCCACATTAAATGTCGCAATTCGTACAACATTCCCAATTTTGATTTTTAAATACAAGTTAACAATTATCTTACAAAAATATAAAATTATCTGTAAAGTGTAAAAACCTATTTTTTTTATTGTAAATGGAACTTTCATTTTATTTACTGTAAAAACGTAAAATGCCTTTTTTTTATTTTATGTAACCGGTACCAGCTATCCTCCCTTGTCCACCCGGATGCACAGGCGCTCGGAACGTTTCTTGGATAATAAAGAATGACCTAAAGTAGAATCGGCATAGTTAGTCATTTGCCGATACGTTCCCCTACCACTCATATAATAACACAAGGTAGGAAAGCGTTGACACCATGACATCGAAATTGTCCGAAAAATTGTAGAAACTATCGATCGACTTGTATTACCTTTATTCGAACTAAAACGGGTTAAACCCTGTGAAAATCAAAACACCAGAGCAAAAAGGACAAATCCATCTACGCGGATATTCTGAAGCAGAGACCCGAGCATGCGCACTTCCCAAACATGTACGCGCGTACTGCGTCATCAAAAACCGATGCAGATGTTTTTTTTTATATTGCGAACTATTAGCAAATTTTTTATTTTCAGGAAAATTCAATTTAAAAATACAACATATAATGATACTAAATACTACAATACAATATTTAAATTTTGAGACTGTGCAGTACGCGCGTACATGTTTGAGTCCCCAGATCTGTTGATAATGAGGCATTCGTATGCAAGGAATGTTTGCACCCCGGGGGTCCGACTTAAAGAATGATCTGGTACGCATATCTGTGAAAGAAAACGCGTTAAAAGGGTGTTTTTTTAAAAGAAAAGCACGTCAACTCGCGTTACGCGTTTAGGTTTACCATTTCAGTCAAAATGGACAAAAAGGTGTCTTTTCCGGTACTGCCAACGTGATAAGGGTGGTTATTCTTTAAATAAGATTATCGTTCAAGGTAGAAGCCTACTCATAAATTAAAAAACCCAGAATTTATTCATTTTGCAACAAACTGTACTCCAAGGCAATAAGGCAAGGCAATAAGGATATTGACCTAAAAAAAGTTGGGTGTCACCAGCCTTTTTTTCGAGAAATTGATGGTTGTATTTTAGTGGAAAATCGCCATTTTGACACTATTATAACACTTTTACCACAGTTTTTATGGCAGAGATATTATGCAAATATCTCAAAATCCAGCCTGGTGACATAGGCTGGAAAAATTATATATTGTTAATGATGGAGTACTTTTTGTTGTTCTAAATTATTTTAAAAATCTGAGTTTTAAAAAGTGTCAAAAAATGTCAAAACATTTTTCTTTAACATTGTGTTCTATGGAATTGTTCTAAAAATAGCAATTTTCAAAAAATATTAGGACGCGTTTCTCAAAATAAATAACTGGTGACCCCCAACTTTTTTTAGGTTAATATCCTTATATTACCTTGGAGTAAATTTTTTTGCAAAATGAATAAATTCTGGGATTTTAAATTTATGAGTAGGCTTCTACCTTAAGGAATTCAATGATCACAAAAACGAGAAAACCGTCCGGCCCCCTGGTTAACGACCCTCGATCACGCGCGATCACGGCATATGACCAACCCGTGCTTGCACTGAAGGGTTAGAAAGCTCAAATATCGCGAGATCGGGCGCGAGTTCAAGGTGCGTGATCTTTTAGCTTTCTAACAGTGAAAAGAGTGCGAAATTCTGACCTTTTGAAACGTGTTTAGGGTCATTTTGAAAACCCCTTTCACAGATATGGGTTCCAGGTAGTCGGACCCCCGGAGTTTGCACGCAAAAACTCGCCAAATATGGTCAAATTTCCTTGACGGATGGCCTATATCCCGTTAACTGTGAGATCTCGCGTATTGCTTGAAAGATGCTGATCGAACGTCTACCGATTTTGATTTTGTCTTTGTTGTCAATAAATATACAATTATTATTATTATTATAAAAATTATTATTTGTATACGGCAGAAATGTGTTTTCACCCAAGAGCCTCTTTCTGAGTTAATGACCCGCCCAGAAGAAGTTGTGAGGGCGCCATACTTGAAAAGAAAAGAAGAACCGGTGAAATAGCCGAGGTCGAGGAAACAGCACAAACTTTGAAATAATTCTTTCCCAAATTGATATATGTTGCACATGTAGGGGCATTCTTGTTATACTGTTTAGAGGAGTTTAAACAACTATCCGCAAAGTACCGTTTTCTGGGAGTTTTTTTGCCTTTGTTTCCACTGTGATCATGGTTGCCAGGGTGTGGAAATGCCCGGATGTCCAAAAATAGCAAGTAAATACAAGCTCCTAGGACAAATGGGCATGACATATATAGCACGGAAAATGCAGCGCGTCTTAGCATTTCATGTAAACAAACAATGTATTTCACACACGCTGTGTAGGTCGTATGAGTTCCATATCGATCAGGGCGCGGCGGGACGACCACCGCCCTTTAACCGTTGCAAATAACTATGGAAAAAAAACTTAGATATTTCGGGTGAATTCCCTGATCCCATAGCAATCTGTATGCACCTCAAACGAATATACTGAATATGCATTTATTCTTCACTGGATTTTAAAGGGTGGTGGTTGTCGCGCCGCGTTCTGTTCCATATAGAACTCACAGTGACGTATACAACGCGTGCAAAATACTTTATTTGCTTACATGAATTTCGAACACGCGTTGCTCGACGACCGCCGCCCTTTAATTTCGCTATTTTCACTGATAAATAAAATCCGCCAAAATATAATTATTGTATTCAAGTTGTCGCCACGAGTTTTGAAATATTGACCCACTAAAGCTACAAGGGCCTTAGCTCGGCTGAAGGTGAAGGCATTTAATTACCAAAATCAAAATAAAAAATATATATATCAGTTAAAATAAAATGTTTTAATAGTGCTGCCACGGGAACCAACACAGACCGGCGAGTCGGGGTATCTCTTCTGCGCATGCGTAATATGCTTTGTAATAAAATGACCCATGTCACTAAAGTAAAAATAGTAATGACCAGACACGCAATACGTGTATGGCGTTATGAAATTCACCTCGCGTACTTCACCACTAGTGTGTCGTACCCGTTTCCTGTCACCACAATTCAGCGCAAAAATAGAAAACCTACTAAGATACCCACCTGCGATTGTTGGTGTATCGATTCACTACATGTATAATGGGCTAATGTGTCATTTTGAAGGTACACTCGGTGAATAACAACAATGCAACGAACACCTTTTGTTGATGTTATCTCCAGACCACGTATCCTTCCCAGGGAAAACGACTTCCTCTATCGCATTGGTTTGCCAGAGCCAGGCAGGCAGACCACACAACAAGAAGCACACCGGCTTTCCTCCCGAACTCCGGCGCCACAGCCGTTCACGCAGACAACTTTTCAAGTGCCCTCAGGCTGTAGAGACTGGGGCGCGTTGGATCCGATGCAACTTGGAATTAAAGTTAGTAGCGATGTCGTACACCTGAATACATCCGAACAGTCTGGGACTTGGTACGCCTCGCCACTACAATTTGCTGATGGTGAGCGTACCACACATTTGAACCTGTGCGGCGTCGACACGACGCCATTGGACAGAAAACCGGGGAAGTTTACGCCGTTATACACGAGGTCGAAGTGTGAACTAGTTACAGGTAAAAACCGGGACATGTTGTCTAATATATTTTAAAAGTTCCAACAGAATATTTATATAAAAAAAACACATTTAGAAGTCACATTGTGTTTATTTATTTATTTTTGAAAAACATTTTAAAAAAGCAATTTCGGAAGAAAATTAAAGACCGACATGGTATATAACAGTCGCGGGCGGACACTCTCACCCACGAACCTTCAGGGAATGAATAAATTAAAATATTTTGACAGTACGACAGTTTACTTTTGCCGAGAAAATGCGTTTCAAAAGTGCTGATATTCAAATTTGCCGAAACTGTGTGCATAATAAAATCACAATTATTGACTATTATGAGTAACGACGTATACAACGTGAGATGCGGAACGGACACCGAGTAACGAGCATCGCATTACGGAAACATCGAGTTACAAAAATGACCACGCCCATATTTTATTTTGCGAAAGCACGTCCAAAATATAACTCAGTGTCCAATCCAGTATAAAATCTAAAAAAAAATATTTATTTTGTTTAACGTTTTATGTCTTCCGGTTAATTAACATTCAAGTTAAAATTTGAACGTTAAATAAAACAACAAATCTATGTTACCTGTAAATAGAAGTTCGGTTGAACATCGAGTTACAATTTGGGCGTGGTTTTGCAAAAGTGGACATGGTTTCTAAAATATTGGCGTGGTCATTTTTTTATCTCGATGTTTTCATAACTCGATATTATTAACTGAATGTTTGTAACTTGATGTTTGTAACTCGAAGTTTTCGTAATTCGACGTTCATAACTCAACGTTCTTAAGTCGATGTTCATAACTCAATGTTCTTAACTCAATGTTCGTAACTCGATGTTCTTAACTCGATGTTCGTAACTCGATGTTCGTAACTCGATGTTCTTAACTCAATGTTCATAACTCGATGTTCTTAACTCGATGTTCGTAACTCGATGTTCGTAACTCGATGTTCTTAACTCGATGTTCGTAACTCGATGTTCTTAACTCAATGTTCGTAACTCGATGTTCTTAACTCAATGTTCGTAACTCGATGTTCGTAACTCGATGTTCTTAACTCGATGTTCGTAACTCGGTGTTTTCCTAACTCGATGTTCTTAACTCAATGTTCGTAACTCGATGTCTGTAACTCGGTGTTTTCCTAACTCGGTGTATGTAACTCGACGTTTTCGTAACTCGATGTTCGTTACTCAATGTTTGCATGGAAGGTACTAACGTTAGTACCTTCCATGATGTTTGTAACTCGAAAAATTCAGCATCTCACACAACGCGTGTAAAGTAAATTATTTGTTCTCACGAAATACGGGTAGTGCATGACGCGACGGCGACACCGTAGAAACCCGTTCCTAATCGTAAAATGTTTAGTTACCGAGTGTTGCAAATATGGCGTCATTCACCTTTGCACACAGAAAACAATTTGATCTTAAACTTCTGACTTTTCTGTTGATATTTGTTTAAGTATCAATGAATGTAAACATGTCTACAAATACGAAAACGCATTTGTAAAACATTACACTTACAGAGCTTTAGGACAGGCACTTATAACGAATACTTTTTTTCCCAAGTACTAACTGTTAATTGGCCTGATATGTGTTTTCTGGAGTCACGGTCCCATTTTTACATTTGATTTGAACTCATAGCTGTATTAAATTTGCGGGCAAATAACACTCGGACCGTGAAAGCTCAGTTCCGGAAATTTAAGTTTGGGCTGTGAGAAATTGCAGAAAAATAATTTAACACTCGGATCGTCGAAAGCTCAGTTCTCCGATAGACAGTAAAGTTTTCTAACTGCGGGGAAGTTTGTTGGCTCACTCACCGTGACTTCTCAGTAGGAAAAACGTGTTTAGCCAACGTTACACCCTTTTCATAAAGAGGGCGCTTGTGCGAACTATGACCTCAACGTCATCAAGGCGAAACGAGAACGAGGCCAATAACAATAACAGACAGGGACGTTGAGCTTACCAGTCGTCACGTGGTGAGTGACGTTGTCATACGTCACTCTAACATCGTTGCAGTTATCCGCATGAGTTGTAAACGTTATTTGGAGTGTTACAGTTTTTTTGAAAAAAAAAACATAAACTACAAGATTGCACTTGATTGGCTACTCGACCTTCAACATCTAACCATCAGACCAATGAGAGACGAGCTTGTCTGTCCGAAAGACGCGACCATCCGGAAACTGCGGTCACAATGTGCTGTGATCGTTTAGATGACTTTGGACATCATTTTTTATCCGTAACTGTTCACACCTAGTGAAGGATTAACTGTGTCAGCCAAAAGATATAGTACATGACAAAATCGGTAGACAAAATACCACTAAATCATAACAAAATAAAGACAAACAAAAATGCGAGTGAAATAAGTTAAGCAATTTGATATTCAAATGCAAAGGAAATATCGGTAAAATAAATGGTATTTACTTAAATCATTAAAAATTCTGGTAGGACACGCACGTGGTAGAAAAGCCCACTTCAAAATAGACGTTATTTTTGAGAACCCACCCGGGGGCATAAAAAGAAATGTTTCCCAACGATATAGAATATAGTTCATATATGTTATTGATATGTCTGCGAGATTCAAAGGGAGTTTAAATCGATCTACATATTAGAGTGAAAAGGTATTTGAACTTTGTAGCATGAAATATATTGATAAATTTAATTTGTCCATGATTGTATTTCTGCGACATATTACTGAGCAATGATATGTGTTATTTATTGCATTAATAATATGCTCCCAGACAGGTAATATTTACTTAACGCGTCACAATTGCTGGCACTGTGGCCCCCTCACCAGTATGTCGATATAACGTGACGATAATAGAATCTACGCTCACTGAAGCCATCCCACGTGACGAACGTGGACTGAACCATTGTTTTATCGCGGGGGTGATTTAGCTACAGCGTGAAACAAATGGTGTGAATGATGAATAAATTTGTTAGAAATATGACAACACAGTTGATTGGAGGTGCTAGATGATGACGTCACATCAATGGCGGCCAAACACATATACAATGAACATATCATCAAATACGCATGAAGCAATATTGTGTTTATTCACTTTTCAGGTTTTCACTGCAAGCGTCGATGCGCAGTCAACGCCGAAGACTACAGATGGTTGAAACCTGCTGTGACGTCACTGGTGAGAAAAAAGCGTCGACCTTATTCGCAGACACAGATTCTAGGTTTGGAATCGGAGTTCATCATAAACTCATACCTGGAACGAGGACGTAGCACCGTTCTCGCAAAATCGTTGAATTTGACCGAACGACAAGTCAAGATATGGTTTCAAAATCGAAGAATGAAGGAAAAGCGAATGTTCATGCGGGAAAAGTTGACTAATTCAAAAATATGAGCTTGATCTGTTAGCAAGTTATACAGTTTTGAAGTGTTGGATACTGTCAAGATTGTATTTCCCAAGAAAATAGAATCAATAAATTAATTCCTGAATGCTCTTCGCTGCTCGTCGTTAGCTAACTACTGGCGGTCAGAGTGTTTTGTTTTTTTTAGAAAATGTGTGTCTGTCAATCACGTGAGTTTGGAAAATAAACGATATATATTTGGACTCTTAATTTGGTGCTGATAAGTCAACATAATCAATCATTTCTGCCATTCCGAACCGGATCTCAGTTCTGCATTGTTATTTTTCATTCAAACTTAGTATGTCCATATCATAACGTCATAAACTTTTTCTTGATCATATTTAAGATGGTCTAGTGGCGGCCATTTTTAATATTTATTCATTTATGCCATTTTTCTCATGCCTAAACATATTCTATTCAACATCGGTATGGGCATTCAATATGTACCTTTATGCATATCATCTTACCCTGAATCGGATTCAAAATAGCCGACTAGTGGCAATTTTGTTTAAACAAATGCTGTTCCATGGTCATGACATGCATCGACAAAACATATTCAACACAAATACACAAGAACGCGCGCACGCACAGCTTGTATCATGTTTGTCATACGCGTGACAGTCATACTATATAATGGAAACATGTCTTATATCGGTCAATATACAACCAACCAGAACACCGATGTACCGTCGTACTAACCACGCCATGTTCTATTGACATATTTAAATATGACACTGTAATGACATTGTGGCTTCAGATCACTTTCAAAATTACCAACGAGGGCTATTTCATTTTCAATGACTGGTTTTGGGAAATGTTCACTGCACAAAGGGGTAAGTCACGCTCTGTCGTGTTTTAACTCTGAATACTCCAATCTTACAACGTTCTGAGACCTCCATATTTTTTATTGACCATATGAATAAGAAAAAAATATTAATGTAAAAAATAAAATAAAAAATAAAATAAAACCAACAATAGAAATAAGAACAGAAAGACACGGTCAAGGTTGGTTTTGTGGCCCTATTATGACGACAGTTGAACTCCAACTAGTTATATCAAATGGACGTGAACTATGTCCATGGAATGTACGATCTACCGAGCCCACCGTCAAACTGAGACGTTACCAAGCTTTCATTAGTTAATTTTATTAAAATGCAGTTGGTTAAATTAACTTTTATAGGGTGAGGTTTACGTCAATGACTAGTACACGAAAGTGCCAAAATATAAAGATTTGATTGTAGTAAAATAAACTGAGAAGAGATCGAGTCAGTGGGTTGGGATGAAACAAGCATATCCGTTAGCAGATGTTAAAGGGCGGTGGTCGCTGCATCGCGCATGTGCGACCTTTGTGTTGATAAAACATTGATTTTCCCATAATCCAATGCGCTCTTCTAATGGAAATCACGAGTATGAGTTTTGACCGGGGCGCGACTTGCACTAATTACCGCGACTGACGTGCAACGTTTGACAAACGAGTCTAAACTGGGACATTACCAAGCTTTAATTAGATAATTTATTTTGTGATTGGAATGTATCGAAGGAGTCACCGGCGGTAATTAGTGCAATTCGGGCCCAGGTCAAACCTCATACTCTTTATTTTATTAGAAGAGCGCATTGGATTGTGGGTAAATCAATGTTTATAAACATAAATGTCGCACACGCGCGGCGCGACGAAAGTCAAACACAATGTCCGGAAATGTATTCTTGGTCATTACTGTAGTAGAGTATCGTTGATAATAAAGGTCATGATTTAGCTGATTTTCATCTTAAAGGGTGGTGGTCGTTGCACCGCGCATACCCGAGATATGGGTCTCATATAAACAAACAACGCTGACTGTCAGTGCAGGATATTACCAAGCTTTCATAAGTAATTTCTTTGGTGATTGGAAAATATCAATGTAGTCGCCGGCGGTTATTAATGCAAGGCACACCCAGATCAAACTTGTACTTGTGATTTCATTAGAAGAGCGCATTGGATTATGGGAAAATCAATGTTTACAACAACACAAATGTCGCGCATGCGCGGCGCGACGACCACCGTCCTTAATGTTTTAATGAATCGGTGCTGGGTATATATTATGGCAGGTTGTTATCAAATCTGTGCCACTATTATACAATATTTTTTCTTTGATCTCACAAATGTGAATCCACATATGGCAAATAAAAATTCACGACATTTATTCTCTTTTAAATATGTTCCCCTTGATTTAGTATGATTCTTGTTCACCACCAATCTTTTTTACCAGATAGACCAATAAGACTCAACGTTACATTGCTATACTGGTAGTTTATTAAAAGCACGTTGATTGGCCATTTCCCCCAGAACAGATGTATGCGTCGAAATGCTTATTTTGATGATTTGTTAGCACTTAAATGGCCGCGATTCGGTCATCTTGAATTGGATCAAGAGTCAAGTGCATGTGCATATGTATATGACGTGCATTTGAATAAAATCAGC